AGGACCCGGGACATTTGCGCAACAGCCTCGAACCCGTGAATCACTTCAAGACTTCAAGACCCGTGAATCACTTCAAGACATCGGAATCTCGTGTTCGCGGATGTTAATGGAAGTATCAATCATGATGTAAGCCGAACAAGCATACAGCTGGATTCGTATAATAACGATCTGGAGCCAGAATCACAACAAGAACAAAGAGGAGACCTCTAAGTCCTGGAAATTAGATTGGATTGGCCTGGACCTGACCTGGTTTATCTGCATCTGATTTGGCGGGCACTTTCGTTTTTGCGGTTGAGTCACTGTTTTCGTTAAATCGAGCTTGTGACTATGGTCAATCCGACGAAGTAAGTGCTCTCCGACTAGTTTTCCGGGCTGCTAAATAAAAGCAAAAAATACCACGGTTAATTTGATTTTTTTCAGAACCCCTGCTGAAGACACGCTCATAAAGAAGAGAAAACCGAATCGTTTGATTGTTGACGACGCCGTTAATGATGATAACTCTGTGGTCTCCATGTCACAGGTAAATGATTTGAGGTTTCAAGCGTATGAAATAAGGCTAAAATGGATGAGCTTCAGTTATTCCGTGGTGATACTGTTCTTATCAAGGGAAAGAAGCGCCGCGACACCGTTTGCATCGCCCTAGTTGATGATACCTGCCCGGATGAACGAATCCGGTTCAACCGTTGCGTGCGTAATAACCTCAGAGTTAGGTTGGGGGATGTTGTCACCATCCAGGGGTGCCCAGAGGTCGGATATGGACGTCGCATTCACGTGCTTCCAATAGACGACACTATTGTTGGTATCACTGGGTAGGTTATTGTTTGTACCTAATTCGCTTTTGAAAGGAACCTGTATGAGGTCTATCTAAAGCCGTATTTTGTCGAGGCCTACAGGCCCGTGCGGAAGGACGATATATTTGTTGTCCGAGGTGGTATGCGTGCTGTTGAATTCAAGGTGATTGAGACTGATCCTTCTCCTTATTGTATCGTTGCTCCTGAGACTATTATCCATACAGAGGGTGATCCCGTCAAGCGAGAAGTAAGTAAACATTTTCATTTAATCTTATTTCCCAGGACGAAGAAGATAAGTTGAACGAGATCGGTTATGATGATATTGGCGGTTGTCGAAAGCAGTTGGCTCAGATCAAGGAAATGGTTGAGTTGCCCTTACGGCATCCTCAGCTTTTCAAAGCGATCGGTGTAAAACCTCCCAGAGGAATACTTTTATACGGCCCGCCGGGTACGGGCAAAACACTTATTGCAAGAGCCGTAGCCAACGAAAGTGGAAGCTTCTTTTTCCTCATTAACGGGCCTGAAATCATGTCGAAATTAGCTGGCGAGTCTGAGTCAAACTTGAGGAAGGCATTTGAAGAGGCGGAGAAAAATGCGCCGGCAATAATCTTTATTGATGAGTTGGATGCAATCGCACCAAAAAGAGAGAAAACTCACGGTGAAGTAGAGCGTCGCATTGTTTCACAGTTACTGACATTGATGGATGGTCTGAAGCAAAGAAGCCACGTCATCGTAATGGCTGCCACCAACAGACCAAACAGCGTTGATCCAGCTCTGCGCCGCTTCGGTCGTTTTGATCGTGAGATCGAAATCGGCATTCCGGATAGCATTGGCCGCCTGGAAATTTTAAAGATCCATACCAAAAATGTGCGACTCGCGGATGATGTGGATCTCGATCAAATCGCTAATGAAGCGCACGGGCATGTCGGAGCAGATCTGGCGTCGTTGTGCTCGGAGGCCGCACTGCAGCAGATTCGTAACAAAATGGATTTAATTGATCTGGAGGACGACACAATAGACGCCGAAGTCCTAAATTCACTTGCGGTTACAATGGACGACTTTAGATGGGCACTTGGAAAAAGTAACCCTTCCGCGCTGCGAGAAACTACGGTGGAGGTGCCGAATGTCACTTGGGACGACATCGGTGGGTTGGAAAATGTCAAACGTGAACTGCAAGAGTTAGTCCAGTATCCTGTTGAGCATCCTGACAAGTTCCTCAAGTTCGGTATGACACCAAGCAAGGGTGTACTCTTCTACGGTCCTCCCGGTTGTGGTAAAACACTACTGGCCAAGGCAATTGCAAATGAATGTCAAGCTAACTTTATAAGTATCAAAGGTCCGGAGCTACTAACCATGTGGTTTGGTGAATCTGAAGCGAACGTAAGGGATATTTTCGACAAGGCGCGGCAGGCAGCTCCATGTGTACTGTTTTTCGACGAATTGGATTCTATCGCTAAGGTGAGTACATTCACGCGGGTTCATTGTTACCCGGGGGTCCGCTGCTCGTCTTGCTGCCTGTTTTCATTGCCGAGGATATGGTTCTTGTTCACTTCATGAGTATCTGCATTTCTATTCCGGAAGTAAAGACACCAATTCATTGATAACACGATTGCCTTTGCTGCTACTATGGTCATCCATAATTCAGCAATGCTAGTCATAAACTCGCAGAGATGCACTCAATGGCATATTATATCTTAATTCATGGTAGGCTAACCTTAGCAATACAATTCTCTCAAATGCACCCTTTGAAATTAAAAGCGAGAAAATAAATATTTAGTACTTTGAAATGCCCATCTCTAACCTGTATTGCTGGGTGCCTACAAGTGATTTGAGAACCACATGGTAACCATGGTTATAACTGGTTCGGATGCTCAAGTATGTCGTTCATACATCGACGAGCTTTGAGTTTTATCAGATATGTTGGTCTCCAGTCCTCATTATACCGTGGTTATCTTGATCGTGTCATAAGGTTTGAATAAAAGTTCACTTTTAGTAACCTTGTTTGAGTATGATAAGATAATCGCGCCCTGATGCATTCGCAATAGTGATTTAGTAGGAATCTTCATTATTCGATGCAGTTCACGGTGCTATGCATTAGCATGGTGTGCAAATCCCTTGCCTCGATTTGATAAATGTTGCGTAATTTCAAGCATTTGACTTGAGCACAGTTATGCCGTGAAATGTAGCTGGACACCAATCAAGCGATGCCGATTTGCTATCTTCCTTGTTTTTGAGAAAAGGTAGCTGAAAGTTTTTTAGCGAATTATTTTCACAGCTATGCTATCCAACAAGTTCGAATTGTTTCCGCGGTGCATTAGAGCTGTTCATTTCGTTTCTTTTTTATTACACACTTTCGTGTGGTGAACAACAGACGGGGTAAACCCCATAGTTACGAGGATCTACTGGTCAGTAATAGAAACCGGTAACTTAAGCCCCGGGACTAGGAGTGGTGAACTACATAAGGCATGCTATTAAACCGGACAACAGCAAAGCTGCCCACCACCAAAGTTGGGTGGTGGTGGTTGTGGTGGGGCTCAAACATCGGACCATAGGGTCCAAAGCACGCCCGTGACAGAGATTAAACCGCTGCGTTCGGTTCATGAAATTCCTCACTCAAGAGAACCGTCGAAAATCAGTTCTTATCGAGTTACCTCCCCAAGTGATCAAATATCGTAATGATTTTTCGAGGTTTATATGTTTCCTTACGTTCATTGCTCTTTTACCCTGGGATACGAACCACACAAGTAAACGACGGCCTCGCTGTCGTTCGGCTGAATAACGCCCATCCCGACGGATTCATTTGGTCCGCGATTCGAAAGCGAGTTATCATTATTGTACAGCGAAATACAGTGAAGCAAACTTCGTTGATCGCTGCAAGTGAGAATATTACGACGCAGTTAGCATCAGGGATGCAGCGATCAGAACTTGACAGAATATCGGGCACGTATGCATGATACTCGCTCAGAACTGCAGAGCCGGCTGTTCTGGTAAATTTTGTCTGGACTCGGTGTTAGAGCGCGTCGCAGGATCGTGATGGAAACCAGTATCAGTTGCATAAATGGCTCTGTACGAGAGCATAGAATCATTGACCGAACCACTTGACCACGGGAATTGTTCCAATCGCCGCTCGGGAGCTCATTAATTGTTGGACCCCTGTGATATGAAGTGTCGTAACTAGTGTTATTTATGCACTCCCCCATTTACACACATTTGCATTGTGCATCATTAACTTGGAACTGCTCGCAGAGTTTGTCTTTTATTTACTATTTCGTTGGTCGGCGAAATGGATATCCGATAAGCAGAAACCCAAACCAGCATTGGTAATTGTGGTCATTAGATGTGCGAACTTAAACCCCACCAAACAGACTATGAATCAATAAAATCAACTCCCGGTTTGTTTTCGGCTACGATGCTGTTAGTGCTCGAATCAAAGGCTTCTACTAAGGGTTCACTACCGGATCGTTAGTGTAACCAAAGCCTCACTCGGAGCCATAACCTGGTCAGTGAACCACTGACACTCCACCTAGGGGAGTGGGCTAAAAACCCAAGAGGCGCGCGAACCACACTTGGTTGTGGTACTGATAGCCGTCTCGAATGGACATCGAGGTGTATCGAACACATTGGACGTTTAACCCCGTCCGAAGGGTGTATGATCCGATGAAATGAACACCACTCCGATGAATTGTGGTTTTCATCACCCGCTGACTTACCAGTCAGACTTCGGCTAGCCGACTACTCGGGTTGTGAACTCCCTGAAAGAATTCTCCTGACATGGGCAACGCAGTGATATCGTGCTCTCGAGCAAATTATGGACCTTTTTTTTTTACAAAGACTCAGGTTTTAGCTTGGTTGTGAAAATTACAGTACATCGGAGATTTGGTCTCTGATCAATCTTTTCAGACGCGGTTCGCACGCCCACTGTTCATTACATCCTATCAATAATTCAGATGGCCATATTTACTAGCCACTTTCCTTAATTTATCGGGGATTGAAATCAAGGTTTCGTGCTGCCCATTTAGTCAAACAGTGCTAAGGGATTAGACGAAATTAATCGAAAGCCGATAAGTAAATCTGTTTATATCCCAGATATGGGTTTTTAAACATCTCACGTAAGTGAAAACGCTATCTATAGGAGGCATTGAGTAGGCTTCCTACAGCGATTGCTTCGATAAACATTCCATTTTCGGGTATCTCGCTGTGCGATGATGATGTACATGGTTTTAGCCCTACTGGATCTCTTGTTGGCAGTTCTATTGGCTGATTGCTAGAGGCACAACAATCGGAGTCGGCGATTTGTTGCCTTGGCAAACATGCGATATTTTGTGGATTCTATCAAGAAGTAAGGTCGACCTATATGGCCCATTGTAATCCATCTTTCTCACAACTACTTGAGTCTAGACTGTACCAAACGAATCATACCACAGATGTGTTCCATCCTTTCTGATCCTAGCTACTGGTTTGTTTTCTATGATTGATCGGCCGATCCTCTTGAGTACGATTACCACCCGTTCCGCTGTAATTAGTGAGTCACTCGATAAATTTAAATTGGTCAGTCCTTTGATTATTTAATAAAATCCTTAACAACAGTATAGCTCGAAATTCGCGATAGAAAGTTTAACGTGGACAAATTTTTCTACTACCGCATGTTATTTTCATTATTATATTTAAGTAAAATATATATTAATCTTTGCCTTGCGAAATATTTTGTTCCTTTCATAGGCTCGGGGTGGTAGTGTTGGTGATGCTGGTGGCGCTGCCGATCGAGTTATTAATCAACTGTTAACAGAAATGGACGGTATGTCTTCAAAAAAGAACGTGTTCATCATTGGTGCTACAAATCGCCCGGATATACTTGACGGTGCTATTTTGCGTCCTGGGCGTTTGGATCAACTGATCTATATTCCGCTACCCGACGAGAAATCTCGAATCAACATCTTAAAAGCCAATTTACGCAAGTCGCCTGTCGCCAATGTAGGTTTATGTTCGCATTGTTTCCATTCTACGGTGTGGCTCGTATGTGTAATGTTGTATTCAACTTTGAACGACAATGATGAGTTGGCTCTAATTTGGTATACTTACTGTACACACCCTAGAATACCGAACATTTGAGGATATGTGACATATCAGTTACCCTCTCACCGGTCACTTGGCTTGGAAATTCAATCCACACCGACCTTGTATATTTCTGGGAATGATCAGGTTCGACAACTGCGTGACAAGATGGAAATCTGCCAAGAAAGCATGCCCGCTCGACCGATGAGCTTTCCATTCTCCAGACTGATCATATACCGGATCTTAAAGTTGACTATAGTAAAATGTTTTTAACATAGTTTCGGTTTCAGTTTGCACAACCATTAACCATGCACTATAGTGCGCCGGTTTTGGTTACTATCTTTCGGCTGCACATTTAGATGAACATTAGGAGAAAGACAGGAAAAGTTGAAAGTAGGATCGAAGAGAAAATTGAAGAGTTCAGTGGATTAGTGATACAAAGAAATTTAGAAAAATGCATGAACGCCACTGTTTATGACACCCAGCCATATCACTCAGTGTCTCTAACCATCGGTTACGATCATCCCGAAATCCCCAGCCGGGGAGCCTAACAGGACCTATGTGACCCAGTCTCCTGATTAGAGTTTTCATACCCTCGTGCCAGGTCTTAGCTTGACCACCCTTGGCTTTTTTCCACTCGGTGTCTGCTTCGGCGAGCATCGCTCGCGGTGGTAACCTGTCTGGTGACATGCGTAACACATGTCCCAACCAACGTAATCTATGATGGTCGACCACTGGTTCCAGTGGGCGACCGCGGATACCCAAAACTCTGCCCCTAACCTCAACATTGCTCATCCGGCTACCCCACCAGATTCGTGCAATGCTGCGTAGATAGCGGTGTTCAAACACCAACAGTCGGTTTTTATCCTGTTTTCTTAATGGCCAAGTTTCTGCACCGTATAAGAGAAGGGCCGAACTGCCGCGGCATACACTCGACCCTTCACAGCCGGATTTCTCGACGGTGCCACAGATGTCTCCAGTTGGCAAATGCCAACCGAGCGTTCTGTATGCGAGCAGACACTTCATCCGTGATGCATCCACCGGATGAGATGTAGCTGCCCAAATAACAAAACTTATCCTCCTACTCTATTCCCCAGTTAGAGTGAGGCTGGACCAACCCAGTCTTGTAGTAACATTTTACACTTTGAAGGTGCAAAACGCATACCGAATATGGCTACACTAGCATTCAAGTTATCCAGAAATGCTTGCAACTTATCTGGATCTTCACTTAGCAGCACAATGTCGTCTGCATATTGTGGATCAGACAGCCTGCCTCCCGGGAGTAAATCGACACCGCTATCCTCGCACGAGGATAGGGCTGTTTCCATAATCAAATCTATAAGAAAGTTGAATAGAAAATGGAGAAAGAGAGGGCAACCCTGTCGAACACCACTTTCCGTGGTGAAATCGGGTGAGATAGGGCCGTAAGCTGAGACTCGACTTCGGCTATGAGCATAGATGGATCGTAATATTGAAATAAACAGTTTAACTTCAGTTTAAAGAGTTGATCTTTTGAGCATCTTCAACAAAGTCACCAGGAGTTCTTATTAAAGAATTTGCTACTTAAGCCACCGATTATCCGGGTTGGAGAAGAATTAAGGGGAAGATAATCACGATCAACTGCCATTCTGGTGTATGCAACGGTGTGTCGAAAGTTCACCGCTTTGAGAAATTAAAGACCCTATTACAAAACCAGACTTCCTGCGCGTATCGCCATCTGATGAAATGTCGTTTTCTCTTGTCCGTAGGTCGACAACTCTTGTTATCGATCTCCCGCATTTATGTTCTTTTTACCACTTTTTGTTACTGTTTTCTTTTTTTAAGCGCACATTCTCCATTGTATCTCATTGAGAACGCTGAATATCCAGATACCCAACTACTAAACCCAGTCTATTTTCACTTGACTGACTGACTGTTGCAAGTCTCCCAAACTACGAGGAAAGCCTTTTTTAGTCCTGAATTTCGCATACTTGTAAGAGTGCATAGCTGATCAAAAGCGACCGTTTTTTCGTAGCCTGTCCCTCTTCGATCAGATAGAAACGAGAACAGTTCAGCATCCGTCAATGTTCTGGATATCTTCCAGACACTTGATTATCATTGAGCTGGAACCTACCTTGGCCTGGGCAACCTGGCAGTATTCAGCCCACAAGCAAATCGTGGAACGTTTTACTTTTTATACAGATTGTTGTACCGCGGTTTGTTTGGCACAGTCTGAACTCAGACCTGTTTATATATATACATATATATATATATATGACAGTTTGGTAAACAACGATGTTGGTTGTTGTTTTTGTAGCTCGGGTGGTATAATATGATGTTCAGTTGTTCGCCGAGCTTGGCAATTATATTGCAAACGTTTCATCACCAATCGAGGTGACATTCTCAATGCAGTAACTGGGTGAGCGCTTACGAGTGTCCTCTTCCTTATATAGGTCATTGAGTGATGTTGCGTTGCCTGATTGGCCAAGGTTTGATGGCCTTGTGCCGATAGGGGATGAGGTGGACGCGAGCAGTCTGACGGCCGGCCGTNCACCTTTTTTGATCGTAGGTGATACTACCCAACTTCATATTTGCGTCATTGGATTGCAAATTAGATCACAATTACCAGCACGCCTGCTCACCTTCGCCATCAGGGAATGGTTATGAGATGGGATTAAACTGGTGCGTTTTTGTTGCATATGTGCCATCCAGATGGATACGATCAGGTTGCAGAGGTCTCCCTCATCATTGAAAACGGCAATCCTGGTGCTAGCTAGAGTCATCCTTATTACTAATCTAAGTTCACGGACCGGTGCCATCAGAATACTTGAAGACAGGTTATACACGCTCTCAGATGCTTTAACCAGTTTATTTCGCTTTACATTTCTCATTTTTGAGCGAACCTGATTCGGTGGAGGGCTTTCGGTTTGAACCACCCTTCGTTGTTTATGCACAGCCCACCAACTAACTGTCATCGATTGCTACGCCACAAGGAATTTAACCTCGTATTTCTGATCCGTCAGAGATGAGAAGTTTTGTACGGTGATAACGTCTCTAATGCTTGCTGTATCGTATACCACATTTGATTCCTAACTGTAACACAAATCACGGTAGAAAAAACTTTGGCAAAGGAGCCAACCTATGGTTTCCTCACAAGCGGAAAACTGCCAGGTTACCCAGGTCAAAGAGGGCGAGGTTACTCGGTGAATTAACAACTGGAGCTTAGAGCTATCCGAAACCTGACCCGCAGGACGATGTTAAACTTCGTGTCCAGTTCATTGGGCCATGGACGTTTTGAACGGTAGTCAAAGGTCCAAGGTTCACTAGCCTGGATGTTGGATTTTCGTCGGNGAGAATTGGGCTTCCATAGGTGCGGTTATTTAACACGCTTGTTCGTATAGGAGCATTTCATTGGACAGGGGAACCGAGTCACTACCCGACAAAGGCTTTCGTAGACGTTTTTCATTCAGCACGTTCAGATTTTCAAATCATGAATAATTTGGTTTATTTTGTACCACGATTAGCACTGATAAAAGGAAACTCAGCTCGAACGAAGCCCCCGTGTATTGGGGGTTATGCGTCGGGGTAATCCAAGAGCGTATGGTCAAGGGTGAGTAACCATTTTCTTGCATCAATTTCTTTATACGACCGAGCGTTTCAAATGCTCTCTGCTGAGGAAGCTGATTCACTGTCTTCTGGAGAGAGCGGTTACCAACCAAAAGCGATAGAACACAAAACAATCCCCGGGGCCATAACTGGGTCGATGAATTACAGGCCGGTCATCCATGAAGGTTGCCAAAATATTTTGTTTCCAGATCAACCATAAACAGGTGTATGAAAAACCCGAATCTTCCCGATAGTGAAAGTAATCACTGGACTGATTAAGCATCAGGGTATGTTGATCACCTTGACCGTTTGACTTGTAAACAGAGCGTATAGTCGGATGATGTGGCTTTCCCGCGAAGAATTCTCATTTTCACCCGAGTAACTTGTCAGTATTTCGCCTGTGAGCCATTCGTGGACCGATTTTCTTGCTATGGAGATACTCGTGCCATGATTTATTTGACACAGTCTGAACTCAGATAGGTGTAAAACGAAACATTAATCATTTGCAACATGCGGTCTAAAGAATAACTAGTGCAAAACAGAAACAAGTAATTTCTGGGGAAAGTGGTTTGCCAACAACTATCCAGTGTTCTGAAGCTATCAGTAATGCATCTTCATTTAGGTATTCTCGACTTGAATTTTTGTTGATGAATGTGTCGTATGCCTTCAACTAATTTTTGCTTGAATGTATTCATTAGTGAATTTTCCCGTTAGCTTCCCGCGATCGTATTGGAAAAATGTTTCTAAGCTACCAACTGACGTTGCATTATTTGAAAGTTTTCTTTATCATGAAGAATTTTCCTCGATTTTCAGGATGTCGATTTAGGGTATTTGGCCAAAGTTACTCAAGGCTTCTCTGGAGCTGATCTAACTGAGATTTGTCAAAGAGCCTGTAAGCAAGCGATCCGCGAGTCCATCGAGGCAGAAATACGAGCTGAACGTGAACGCCAATCTCGACCAGATGCTATGGTAAGTGCTTTACAAATTGCAAACAGTCATGTAGTGTCCACTGTATTGTACCTTTTTTCTATTACACGCATGAGTGTGGTGAGCAGCAGACGAGGAAAGCCCCGTTGTCACGAAGACCTGTTGTTAAGTCATGGAAAGCGGTAACCTAAGCCCCGGGACTTGGAGTAGCGAACCTCATGGGACCCGGTTAGGTTACGCGTGATATTAAACCGAGCGATATATAAACTTATACCGCGCACCCGAAATAATCGGAAGTGATTTTGTCCAGGTGTTGCCTGCGTTGATCAACGTCGTCACAAATTTCAACAATCCACAGCAGTCTCCATTGATTTTCACGCGGTATTTAATTCCGTGGTACGTAGTATTGGCCGATGTTGGCCCACTTCATAAGATCTTACCAGTTTAACACAAGGGGCCAAATCCGCTCCTACAGTTAGACGTCGCCCGTGTACTAGTTGGGATCTAAATTACGACCGGGATGCTCATTGTCCCCAATGTTGTTCAACTTTATCAGTGATTGGATAATGGGTCGTTCGATGGGAGGACAACAGGTAGTTCAGATTTTTTAGAACTTATGGCTCGTCAATTTGAAATTTATGACTTCGACTTCTTTGGCGAAGATACGTCCAACCAAGAAATGGATAACATCAGACGATGAGTCTCCGAGATCGCCCTAGAGGTGAACACACCGGAAACCAAAATACTTGCGATATCCAAATTCATCTCGAAGATACCTTACAACTAAACTGAATCCGTGGATAGGCGTAACTACCAGACTCAAGCATAAAGCTTAACGGTCGAGCTGCAGTTCGGTGCTGCCAGAAGAGCGTTTGTACAATAGAAAGATTTCTTATAGCGTAGAAATTATTTCAGCCTGTCTAGCTGTCGGGCTGTGATAAACTCGGTTACTAACAGCCAAAGACTTGATGTTTAGAAGTCTTCAATCACTGCCTAAGAATAATTCTGGGAGTCAGCTCCCAATGGGAGCTGTCAGAAAGTGTTGTTTCAATTTCGTACGGCTATAGACGCTCATACACCAACGGTTTGGACACACTACGTAAATCAGACTACAGTCTGATCAAAACTGCCCTGGTGCTATATTTTTATAGTCCTGTCCCTGACGTCGCAGTGTACTTCTGAAAACCCGTCTAAGTGCTGTACACAAGAATACAGAACACCTTGGTCTCCGCTCGGTCCGCTGCAATCGCTAATGAAAGTCAGGTTGGTGTAAAATCTGCACAAATCTTGCCACTGAACGTTGGCGGCTGCAATTCGGGATATCAATAAAGCCGGTTTATCCTCTCCCATGAGTCAAATGACTCAAAGTGAAGAAAAAGCTGTCCGGGTGTGAAAATGTCGCTTTGCTTTTGAACGATATTTGCATTCATGTTTTCCCTGAATCCGTTGGCTAAGTTTTCAAGAATCTTCTGTTTTTTAGGAGGATGAATCTGATCCGGTTCCAGAGATCACCCGACGTCATTTTGAAGAGGCCATGAGGTTCGCAAGANNAGACGATCAGTCACGGAAAATGATGTTAGAAAATACGAAATGTTCTCACAGACCCTACAGCAATCTCGAGGCATCGGAGGCAACTTCAGGTAACCACAGAAATGATGAACTTTTGCATTGGCAGGTTTTCTCTCATTTAACACCATCAAAAGTATATCTGTAAAATCCGAAGGGGAATGAAAATGACGAGTTTTACGGGGCTGAGGGGGGAGGAGCAATTCACATTACGATTCTACAGGTCTCTGCGCGGCTGTCGGTCTGAAAGGTGTTTTTACAAGGACTAAATAGTCGATGGCTGGGCTGGTTTTCCTCGTTTTTGTTTACACCAGTTACAGGGAAACGAGACTCCACCAGAAGCAACTGTCAGATAGTAGGGTAGCATTCACATATGTACCAATTCATCACTTCTGCTCTTCCAGAGATAATCGATAGTGGATAAAGAAACAGATGTGTATCTCAGGCGGTTTGCCAGAAAACGAGAATCGCATGAACGAATACATGAGGACTGAAACTCAAAGACGGAGTAACTACGTTTGCAAGGGCAAGACGCGTAATAATTAAAAGAGGGCGCTGCTAAGGTCGGTAGTTGACTGCTTCACGTACCTAGGCGTTCGGGTGACACATGACGCATGCGTAAGGTTCGAATGTCCCAAACAGGACCGGAACACTAACTACTAAATGACGTTACATTGAGATTTCTGTTGTGCTACAGTGCAATCAATTCGGCCCTGTGACTGTGCATGCACAAAGATCAACCGACTAGAAATCTTCAACGCTTAACGTTTACGTGGTTTGACACAGGTGGGAAGAAGCAGGTTAGCGACTTCGGTGAGCACAGCTGATGTAAATTTGATTAAGGTATTTTCCTCCCATTTGTACTTACATGTCTACTCGTTAGATTGTATGAGTTCTGTTTGTTCTTGATTTAGGAGACTTAACCACTCTTAGATTTATGTCGGTTTTTAGAGTGGTATGTACATCTGAGCAGCAATCAGATGTAATTTCATTAAATTGTCCTTCTTTTCAACGTGAAGTAATTTCATATAGGATCTTTTCCCTTGCTAAATCTAGACTGCCAGATATGACAATTTTTCCATTTGGACTTAAAATTGAACAAAAGAATTTAGATGAAGTATTGTCTTTCATTGTTTAGTAAACCTGACTGATTTACTCATCGTCAACTGTATATTGTGATTTTTCGGGATTTGCGTGGTAGTCGGTTAAAACACTAAGGGTTCGGTCTAACAAATCACATTTTCACATCTATATTGCAGATTCCCATCGGATGGAAGTAATGTTCCAGGCAGTGGGCGACCCGGCCCAGGTCCCGGTGGTGCGCCATATGACGCTCATACTGATGCTGAAGATCTGTACAATTGATTCACGCTAGCCCATTGACTTGGTCCCACTCTGTTCACTGACTTCAACTTTTTGTTTGACGTTGGTATCTGAGCTGTCACCTCGACCACACCAAAAGGTTCTGTCCGATGTTTTATAGCAGCCAATCAACTGCGAAGCCCATGTTTTTTTCTCATTGTCCACACATGCCATTTTGTGATTTACGTTTAGTGGCTCGGAGATACTTCGTGTGCAGGAAATCTAATTTCCATACATTCATTTGTCGTTCCGCGTTCCCGCTTCGCTCACTGCTCTCCTGTCAATTAGCTCTTTGGTTTTCAGGAACTTGAAAGTCGACAGTTCAGTTCGAACAACCAGTCAGTCAAACTTTTTACAGCATACCCTATCAACCGCCTGTACGTACATCCGCGATCCAAACTACAAAGCTATAGGTGGTGGCGCATTAGTTTCTTCGTCGTCACTGGCGTGCTTCGGTCCAAAGTTCAAGCTCCAAAACTGCCAACCAACTGTGGTGGTAGGCAGGTTTGCTATCGTCTAGTTCAATAGTACGCTATACCTAGCGCTTCATGCGCATTTCGGATGGGGGTCAAACGTCCAAGGTATCGAGTATACCTCGGTGTCAATCATTCCGATGACTGCTATGAAAACCAAGATGATTTGGGTGTGGTTACTACGTCCCTTCGTGTTTAATTGGGAATCAAATTGTTTTGCCAACTCTTCTAATTGAGATATCCGTGGTTCACTGGTCCGGTTATAGCTCTGGATATTGACCTTTCGTGGGAAACCAGTAATACACGAGGTAAGAGCTTTGGGCTTCCATAAGTGCCGTTATTTAAGACGCATACCCTTACACTTACTTTACTGCAGCTGGCTCCTTGGAAAGGAAAAGCCGGCTTTAGACAGGATCATGATCAAGATCATGGAGTTCCTGGGGAGTTTGGCACAAGAGACGTCCCCAGCGTCACTCGGTGTTTTTTATTTTGAGGGAGCACCTCTAGTCTTTGCACAACCAAGTGTGCAGGAAGTAATCCCTCGCCTCGGAAGTGATGGAGTCAATGACTAGTTTTAAAAGGCCAGTCACCGTCCTTTGTCACCACACTGTCATGGGCTTATGCGGCTTTCAAACAGGAGCCAGATGACCGGTCTGAAACCCACCACACCCTGGTAGTGCCACCGCTGTTTGTTCCCGACTGCGTATTTGTTGCGGTGTCAACTTATTCACAGCTAACCTTCTTCAATGAAGGTATCCCTCTATCCACAACCCAGGGACGTACTGGTAGCATTCAGCTCTGCTCAACTCAAAGGTATCCAAGCTTGTCCCTATAGAGGCATTCTGAGAAGTGCAACGGAGCGAGAGCCCATCACAATAGAGGATACCCAATATACCGAGGCCATCTATAATGAAGTTCCCGCACATTAAGTGTCGTTAATTCAGCTCTGAGATTAACACTGTATGTGAGTACTGAAAACCCACTATCGCGATGCGAAAAGTGAAATACTGTCTCCCACTCGCACACTTGATAATTTACAGTATCAATTTAACTGAATTTGCTACGTCAGTTAGTCTATATTTCATACCAGTTCGGGGTTCTACTTTGTCCCCAAAAGTACAATATTTTTTTATTACACAAAAGTGAATACAGTAAACGGAGTAAACCCCATGATCCGAAGATAAACTGTAAGTAGGAAGGTATCGGAACATCTAAGCTAGAGCCAGCTTGTTGATTCTTCGCTTAGAAACAAAGATGTGCCCTGGACGGAGGATCGGAAGAGGGGAGTGTTCCACAATTGTGCTGTTCATGGGAAAAAGTATGATTTGAAATGCGACACCTGGTGATGGTCTCTTGAAATGCCGCTGGTGTGCGGGATCTACGAGGAAGAACAAGCGGGAGAGGAACAGGCGCGGAAAGTTCATCAGAGCAAAGTCCAAAGTAGTATCGATGATACAAGGTTAAAGAAGCGACTGCCTGACGGTGATCTAGTGACTGTAAGTTGGATGTTAGGGACGGATCGTTAATGAGACGGCTGATCCTACGTTGAACCCGATCAAGAAGAGATCGAGAGTGAAACGAAGCTCCGCCCCACGCATGACTGCAGTATTCAAGTGTAGGGCGAGTCTGATCTTTGTAAGGCAAGAGGAGGTGAATGATGGTGAGGAAACATTTGGCGCGGAATAGGAAGCCGATTTTGCGCACAGTGCTGGGAACAAGTAGATACACATAAAATGATTATGAAAGAGAAGATAGAAGATAGAAAGGTACACTTGTTTGCTGGATTCTGTGTAACGAAGTGTTCGTGTTGAAATTCAGGAAGGGGGAGAAAGATTCTTGGAACTTCTGGAACTAATGCTGATGGTTTGAATTTGCCCCAGAACCTTTTGCGTTATCCGCAACCAAACTGATTTCAAACGATCTACTTAGCTTTTCTTGAATCTCTACTCTACCAGAATTATACGAGTATAGTAATTTTAATTAGTTACCAATTATCTGATGCAAAACCTCTGGTAAGCGTGCGCGTTAGATTCCATTGTCATTTGAGTTGAAGTCTTCTTTTAAATGAAAGAGTACTGCAAAAGTTGATCGGTGATGGGTAGCGTGGCGATTTGGTCGACAAAACCATGGCCGGAACCCTTCTACGGTTCGCCAGCCTAATGGGATCAGAGGGCTGAGCATCACAGGCGCTGACATTGATAATAGTGGAAACTACGTTTTACCCATAATGTTTTGCATCGCCTTTGCGTGAATCTCTCATGAAAGTTCGAATGGTGGGCGATTCGCCCCAGAGTAAAAGATTGAGCTATGCCGATCAAATACCTTTTACGGAATCAGGAATAAGGTCGGCCAACGAATGGTAAGAGGCTCTTCAGGCCCGGCTCTTTCCTGTCTGCGAAGATGGAATTCAACGTGATTCACCCCGGGTGGAGGGGCTTTAGTTCATGCTATTTCATGGTTAGTTTGGAGCATCTCGGATAGCGCCAGAGTTGCGCCTGGTAGCACAGAATACCTTCGGATACATATTCATCACACCCCTTACTTGCTACAGCGTAGTTGGGTATTAGGGTGGAAATTTTGATCAGCTGCACCTCAGCAAAAAGATAGTGTACTCGAATTAAACAGTAAGAACACTTCATTAAAAGCAGTTTTCTTCCGGCCTGAGTATCAGAGTGAAGGACGTCTTTGAGTCACCATGTGAACCGTTGTAATTTGTCCATCAACGTTGGTATTATCCCAGGCGGTAACAGATGTGAAATATCTTGTGATGCCTCATCATTTTATAGGAAACCGTTCAAAGACTCAGAGCACTTTCGTGATTCTCTCCGTGCGCCGAAAGGTAGGTAGGAAGAACGCAATGGTTACGAATACACTGAATAGACAGAACTCGTTCCTCTTGCTGAGCCAGGAACCGTTTCAATATTTCGACTACCATTAAAGCTTGCCACTCAAACAGCGTATTCGTGATTATGCACTTTCAAACACCCACTATTTAGTTTCCGGTTTCCGTAGGATTCTTTTCACTGTAATAGGGGCTCAATGTAAAAGACCGATCCATTATAGACATTTCTTGGCGATGTGGGAGCTGGAAGGGATTGACGCAAAACCTGGACTAGTGAATCCCTTTCCGTTTAGAAAGAAATCGTAGCTTCATACTGGCAGCTGCACAAAGTGAAAAAGCCCTGGATGGTAGTAGAAATTACTCCAATTATGGGTAGTAACCTCTTACCTCAGCAAGCTCGT